ATATATTGTCACTGAAATGGAGATCAGCTTGTTCCTTTCAACTCTTGCTATCTGATTACATCTTCCTCTTTCTTTCTGTTCCTTTCTCTTATATGTGTACGTGATAAATGGCTGAGCTCAGATGACTACGTTCATGTGTTAAACTTGTACCTGAGCAGCCATTTTTATGTACATCGGGTCTTCATAAAGAAGTAAATTAGGGGCAGACTGGCTTCTCTTGGAACAGTCTATATTGGGGATGTCAAAGATACAGCCTGCCGGCCAGATCCAGGCTGTGGAGCCCTATCATCCAGCCCATGGTGCTGCCCATGGGTCTCAGACTTGACCTACACACTGTATGTAGCATATGCCCCAGACCAGCATACAGGACCAATCCAGGGCACATACTACGTACAGCACATGGGACCTGATGACTTCAAGACCCATAGCCTGTGTAAAAGAAAGTTTTGGCATAGCCACCAACAGTTGCATGATGTTTTTGGTTTGGTGGGTATTGGGGTTTTCTGTTTATTTTGTCAGTTGCCTGCAAAACCTGTAAAAGCATTAATTCAATATTCATTGTTAATGGGACTTGATCTCTAATAAATATCAACTTCAGAACTTGCCCGTTCATATTTTGCTGGAAGTGTGAACTTTTAAATATGGAACTAGTAAACTGGGAGGGAGCATGTGCTTGCTGTGGGTGGTCTGTGAACAGAGGCATTGCTTCAGAGGAGGAATTAGTCACCTGAGGGGGGAAAAAAGAGGTCCAAGAAACAATTTTTGGCTATCTAAGAACTTTAAAGACAGGACAATTATTTGAGTTGCTGTGATGCATCATCATACTTCAAGCAACAAGTAAAACAGGACTGCAAGTTTCAAAGCATAGTAATACCTAACTTCTACAGATCATCTAATCCAATCCAAACCGCTGCTTGCACCACACAAGGCAGAAGTCAGTTTTTTGTCAGCCAGTCCTATTCTAGGCCAGTTTTTTTAATCTCCTAAAGTTAATTTTTAAGGCTGCTTCCATCTTTAATGTTCTGCAAAGGACCAATGAGTCATGTTTTTTTCTTTTGGCCTTGAGACTAGCAAAACAGGGTTTGTAAGGGAAGTATGTTACTTCGGCCAGATTGTGAGGGCCAGCCAAATCCACCTTCCTACATATTCTATTTGCACAGCTGTTGGTAACTGCCCTCTCCAAGATCTCCACATTCTTATGTTCTCTACCTACTCTACTTGAAATATCTAGCACAGGCTCAACACTGAAAGAAAGTCCTCTAATTTCCCTTGGAAAGACTTGTTGCTCTTCCATTCTCTATGACTCAGTACATACAGAGTGATGTTTATGACACTGTTACTAAAGGTTTGCAACTCAGTGCTGATACTGATGATATTAGACTTCTGTATTGGGATAAGCTTCCAAAAATCTGTGTCTTACCAACTTGATGACTATCACAAATTCAGTTATCAGAGTTATGAAAGGTGCTGCCAAAGGTGCAAGTAAACTACAACATTATTCAAAGCTATTCTTTCTAGAATGATGGAATCCTTTGCAGTCATAATGACTTTCATAATCTTTGTTTTTTGTCTTGTTGATTGTAAGACATCATTGTTTAGCAGTTCTAACCACGATATTGGTCTTTTGCTGCATTTCATTTAGGAGTGTATTCAGGAGACAGATATCATCAGCAAAGTCTAGATCTCCAAGGACACAATCTATCATGGCATTCTGTTTTCCACGCTAGAAATCTGTTGCATAGCAAAGTGCACTGACGACACCAAATCACAAAAGTGAGAGGACACACCCTTATCATTTAACTGGTTATTTCACTCCCGGTTGGAGAAGACTGTAGAACATGTGGATGATTTTACAAGAGAATCCATTGATTTCCAACATCTGCTGCAGATACCCTTTGTCTATATGATGAATGGCTTTCTGAAATTTAAAATGAGTGGTAGCTGCTGTTTGTCCCTTTTGTTCAGTGATACTGAGTAGTGCAAAGAAGTCATTGATACAAGATCCAGCTTGTTCTTGAAATATGCTGTCAGTAGTCTGGCAGATTCTGTTCAGAAGGCCTTCATTGGGACTAACAGAAGTATTATCCCATAAGAGTTAGTTTCAGTTGCTTAAATTGCCATTCTTAAGCAATTTTATGAGTTTCTCCTCCTATCATTCTGGGGAGGTGCTTGTCCCCATACTTAGTTGAAGAGCCATGACAGAGTCCTTAAGTTCTCTTCACCACTTGCTTTGAGCAGATATGCAGTTATTTTATCCTGGCCTTATAGTTAGTTGACAGCTGTTTAACATTCTCCTCCGCCCCGAAGGTGACTTCCATGCAATTGCTATAAAGTTCTTACCTATGTTGTTGGTGTTTGTTTTATGTGGAGGTCTACTTAAATATAATATAAGTTCTCTACCCATTGTTTAATTTGTTCTTTGAGGCTGGTGAAAATATTTCCGTTTTTCTTTTTTTGGTTTGCTGTAGCTGCAACTGAAATAGCTTGCAAGCCATTTTATAGTCTGGTTTACAGCTCTTCCACTGGCTGCTGTCTCTGCTTCTAAAGCACCTCTGTCAATATATATTTGTCTTTCCTTGTTGAACTTGTCTACTATTTTATCTATTCTTTTATTCTTTTTCCATTTAATATCCTGTTGCTCCTTAGCATTAAAGAGGTCCTGCTTTGCTTATTTCATTTTGGCAGTGGCATCCCATGTATTCTTACTGACCCCTTTTTTCCTGCTCTTGGGAAAATCCTAGTATGTTCTCAGCTTTATTGACTTTCATTTTTCTTGGCCCTTCAAGCCTTTCTTCATCACAAAAGGAGTTCATACCTATCAAGATAGAAATGATAATTTGAGAGGTGAAGATCTAACCCCATTCTTGTTTGACCTTTCTGATATATGAGGGGCTGCTTGCAAGACTGATTCAGCAAGCTATCCAAAGGATGGAAGGGCAAAAGCTAGCCCATAGATTCACACAGGGTGTACACTGGTGAGGCCACATATGGAGTACTGTGTCCCATTTTGAGCCCCCCGCACTATAGAAAAGATGTGGACAAGCTGGAGAGAGCCCAGCAGAGGGAAATGAAAATGGTTTTGGGGTTAGGGCACAGGACTAATGAGGAGAGGCTGAGGGAGCTGGGCTTGTCTACAGAAGAGAAGACTGAGAAGGGATTTGATGGCTGCCTTGAACTACTTGGAGGGGGTTCCAAAGAGGATGGAGCTAGACAGTTCTCAGTGGTGACAGATGACAGAACAAGGAGCAATGGTCTCAAGTTACAACAAGGGAGGTTTAGGTTGGATACTAGGAAAGACTTTCTCACTAGGAGAGTGGTGAAGCACTGGAACAGGTTACCTAGAGAGGTTGTGGAATCTCCATCCTTGGAGGTTTTTAAGGCCCAGCTAGACAGAACCCTGGCCGAAATGATATAATTGGGGATGGTCCTGCTTTGAGCAGAGGTTTGGACTAGATGACCACCTGAGGTCCTTTCCAATCCTAATTTTCTAGGATTCTGTGATTCCATGGCATACTAGTGTACCAATAGATGGTGCAGGCAGAAGTGCAGCTCCCAACTATAATTCAGAACAACTTTTGCAAAGCATTCTGAGTTATGTTATCCCAGAGCAAACAGAAGTTCACTGTTGGTTCCAGGGGAGAGGGGAATCTAGCTGTGCTGGGAGCCTGCAGCCAGGTTCCCATAGCTAAAGCCAAGCTGTCTCAGAATGGGAGGGGGAAGACAGCAGAAGGAGCTCATTCTCAGGGCTCCCCAGCTGGTGCTGAAGGGTGAGGTGGGTGAATTGGAGCCCCCACCTCAAGGGGTGGGAGGTGGGCTGCAATACACCTGCCTTACCTTCTGGGTAGGGGGTAAAAAACCCCCAGACTGAACTCCCTCTGCTCCCTTTCTTCCCTCCCATTCTGAAAACATCTACAGGCTGGCAGCCCTGCAGTTACAAAATACACTACTTTATGTAACATCTTTATTTGATACCTCATGCAATGAGGGGTCAGATTTTCACCCCGTTGGCCATTTTTAAGCTATTTACAGCTGTGCACTTGTGTTTGGTCACAGCTTTAAATTGCTTTCTGTGGCCAGATCAGGTGAAAATTGTCGCTTCTGTCTGCATCCAGAATGACAGAAGTGTGCTGTGAGATCCTACTAGGAGTAAATGCTCTCATCCCCACCCCTACTCCAACAATACTTGTGACTGCTCTAGGGATTCCCTCACTGCTGTCGCCTTCCCTCCCCCAGGCAGCCCCTATTCCAGCTCCCTTCTTGACGCTCTCAGATGTGCCTTCTGCCACGAGCAGGAGGATGGACAGATGCATAGACAGAGCTGTGCTTTGCAAGCCAGCTCATCCCCTTCACTCTTGTGTTCCTGGGGCTGGCAGGGTGTGGTTGCTGGCATGTGGGACACAGCAGTAGCAGCCTCAGCAGCAGGGGCTGTCCTGGTTCACAGACGAGGGGTTGGGAGGGACAAACAGTGAAAAGAGCAGGGCATAGCAGGGTAAGGTCATACCCCCACCACTACATGAGAGATTCTCAACTTTTTTAGCCTCAAGGCTCCCCTCTGTATCTTTTATGAATTTATATCTAGCTCATTGATTTTCAAGTGGGATGCTGCAAGATTCAGAAAAGTATGCCACCAATTTTAATCCAGAAAAAAGTGTGCCCCAGGTATCGTAAGTTTAGGAAACACTGGACTAGACAAAAGGTGGTCTCCTGGACCTCTAGGCTTAGGGGTTGGGTGTGAGACTGCCCCTCACTGCAAAAAATATATATTCTTGTCATAAACAGAAGATCTAACCAATCTCAAATTCTTGGAGCAGTGGATAGTATGTAGTTCCCATCTTAACAAGGCTTTTCTTGATAACTGCAAGTGCTTATCTCAGAACTAGAGAAAGTTGCATCTAAGAGCCTAAATAAATGATAAATCACAGTATTTTATACAAATTAAGGTTAAGAGGTAACTTGCTTGCAGACTGTAAATAGCACTACAGAAAAGAGAGTTCTAATAGTAAACTGCTCTTCAGTAGAAAATGATGAGATCCAGTGGCTGGAAGCTAAAATAGAAAAAATTCATGCTAGAAATAAGATACAACTTTCAAGTAGGGTAACTAACTACAAAACAGAGAATCCCTATATCCGTAGGTAATCTATCACTTACGGACTTTATTTGAAGACTTGGCACATTTTTTCATAGATTCATAGATGCTAGGGTCGGAAGGGACCTTAACAGATCATCGAGTCCGACCCCCTGCCTAGGCAGGAAAGAGGTCTGGTGCTGGGGTCAGATGACCCCAGCCAGATGTCTATCCAGCCTTCTCTTAAAGACCCACAAGGTAGGGGAGAGCACCACCTCCCTTGGAAACCCATTTCAAGTTTTGGCCACCCTTACCATGAAGAAGTTTTTTTCAAGGACATTGTATAAGTTAAACAGAAATTATGGGCTTAATGCAGAATGATTTAGTGATGTTCTTTAGCATCTTTATCCAGGTTATAATACACTGTCATAACTGTTCATTTTGGCCTAAATTATTATGAATATAGGTTCATCTTCCCTTTCTTCCCCTGCCCTGAAAGGGGCTGAGCACTTATTGCTCCTATTGACATCGGTTAGAGTTATTGATCTAGGTTGATATTATTAAAGTTTTTGGTATTAACGTCTAGTAGTAACTTAAGCCAATATTAACTATAACAACTAGTCTGTTTTCTAACAGGCATTGAATGAAAAGGGGAAGTATAAAAGGGAACAGGCACTGGAAGCCTCCAACAAAAAACTGAGGCAAGAAGTTGAGTACCTAACAGATGAATTAAAGAGAGCTTCAAATGGTAAGCTGCTGAATTTATTTCAATGAAACTGACTAGGCTTTAAGTAGGTTATTTCTAAAACTATCAAGAAAAAATGCAGGTTGCTCATATTTCTGTATTCCTATAGGTTTTATTTTTCTATTAAAATAAATAATACAGAAAGATCCCTGGACTAAAATAATCCCAAGTACAACACAGTTGATTTTACTGCTTAGAAAGGCTAGAATCTCAGTTGTATTTGGCCTAGGACTCCAGGTACAGACCAATGTCATTTTCTGTCTTGCAGTAAATATTTTAGTTCCACAAAGTTGTATATTGTAAACAATGGCAGTGTAACTAAGGTGGTAGAGTTACAGCTTGGAGCTGCTTTCATTCTGTGGAGTATGTCTTGATCAAGTGTTACAGCGAATAAAAGATCAATTTGTAGGGTGATATATGTGCTAAATGACCCTTCAGATCATGTATAATCTACCCCCTCATATAAAAGGAAAGTATATGAAAAGTTTGTGTCCAGTACAGTGTGCCTTTTAAGTCACAGATATAAGTCCTTACTTGAGTTCTGTTTCTTACTGTAAAAGAGTAATATAGTAGCATTTCTCTGAAAAAAAAAAATCTATAAAGAGAAGTTCTTTGAAGTGCTTTGTAGCACAACACCTCTTATTGGCTCCCATGTTTGAGGTCTAGGCTGTCAGAACTGCTTTCTTGGTTAATCAGCACCAAGATAAAAGCAGATTTTACCTGTTTGAGGATGTCTTATTTGGACCTTGCAAGGTTCCTGACATTTGTGAATACTCACTTGTCTGAAATTAATGTTTTGGATAACATCACTCATGACCTTGTGAAAATACAAATGCACATTTAAGCTACCCCAAAAATGATATATTTTTTCTTTTGCAGCCTCTAATGTGCTGTCACTGTAAGATAGCAATGTTTGTGAGATCAGTGTTCGGTGTTCCAGTATCATAGTGTGCCACTGCTAAAAAGCTACTCCAGACATTTTAATGAATCATTATAAATTGTCAGGTCTAAATCTGGTGGCAAACTTCAGAACAGCTGTTTTTAGTTGGGCTTTATGCAGCAAGAATGATTTTAATAGGAGGGGGGTCTCCTCTATCCCTTTCCTTCTGAGGCAGGTTTGATTATGGGCTGTGCATCCCCTGCTGTTTCTTTACAGAAAGGGAGAAAAGATTGCCTTTGAAGTGACAGGCCTAGTGAAAGGAAAATGTGAAAATGCATATGTGTATTTAAACCAACTGGCAATATGGAGCATTAATATACTGTAAGCTTTTTAATCGGGAATGTTATAGAAAAGTAGGGTGTAAGTAGTTTTAGCACATGCTGTTTTGGCCACAGTCCTCCTGCAGTTTGGGGGGGCCTGCTATCCTGTACACTTCATTTTATATTTTTTAAATAAAATTTGTAACCAATTTTTCAACATACACAATTAAATTTGATTAGCAACAATCTTCAATTAATGATGTTTCATTTTCCTGGGGTCTACGTTAGGCTCTTGTTACTTTCAGCTAATTGACAATCAGTTAATTTAAGGTACTTAAAGACTAAGGTGGATACATCCCACTCATTTGATTCAGGCTACATCTTCTGAATTTGTATAGCAGGTTATCAAAGGGTATCTTCTGAAATTTCAGCAGTGAAATTAAGGAATAGAATTTGAGGTTTCATGTTAATAGTAAAGACTAGTGCATCAAAATGGGGTTTTTCATTTTGTTGTGTTTCAATAAGCACTTGACTAAAACTGCACCATTTCTTTCTTTGTATTTGCATAGTTGGAAAGAAATGTGTCTGAAAGCTTTTTGACAAATTGTGACATCTAAAACGCAAAATAAATGATAAACTTTTATGGTTTACCTTTAGCCTAATATCAGTAAGATCCAGTCTGCTTTGGCTGGTATGTAAAATTACTTAAACAATTGTGTTTCTGCTGTTTGAATGGAAGTCTGTCTGCAGCATATTGTGATATGGAAGTACTAATGAAACAATTTGTTCATAATGCTGGGGTCATTTTGAGTGGTTCATTTCCATTAAACAATAACTATACATGAATCATAAAGCTGTTAGTGCACACTAGGAAAGTTGCACTCAGACTTGCATTTAGGACTAAAATGTTACTGATTCTAATTTTGGTAATCTAATGTATTGTACAAGTCCATGTGCTGGCATCAAAGGAAAACAGAACTTTTTATAATGTTCTTAGTTCACTATTTTTCTATTTCTGGGACAAGAAATGTTTAATATGAACTCTTTCTGCATTTTCCACTCATGTAATAATGTTGACTGTGTGCAAAGAGGGGTCCTTCAAAGGAATAGTCTCTAATTCAACCTGGTAATTCATCTGACAACTGCAAAATGCCATTTCTTCTTTAAGATTTTTATTTTTTGTTCTAGTGAAGACGAGGCAAAAGAAGGAAGGGATTATAGATGAAGGCTTTACCTAAATCTGAGGAAAAGTGTGGAGGATGTAACAAATGTCAGCTAGTCTCCTTGCCTTCTCTCCCCCATTCTTAATACTGGATTTTCTGTCTCCATTTGAGGCCTTTTTTAACATTGTGGTAAAAATGAAAGAGTGGGTTTTTATTTTCCTTTATTGAAGACCCACATACTGAGGGCTTTACAGGCACCCAGCAGTGTGTTAGCACATTCAGAGCCTAAATCCATTTCTAGCATACCTGGACATGTAATAGCACGTCTTTAGAAAACCCTTCTGAGATGGTATTTTATAGATACACAGGCATATAATGAAGAATGCCTTAGTAGTATCCAGGAATGACTGAGTACCCTTAGAGTTTAATAAGCCAAAAATTGGACTCCATAAACTGTAAGTGTGTCTTAAGAATATGATTAGTTACTCTAAGAAAATTTTGATTTAGATTCTTGGGGGATCTCAGTTTGGGTGCTAGAATTGTGCCTACAAGCTGGTACATATTGAAATGTTTGGGGATTGTTTTTCCCTTGTGCAGAACTTGTACATACATATTTGCAAGGACAGTTTTAGATGCTACTTTTGAAAATATAAAGGTGCTGCAGCATTTCACCTTTCTAAATTGCAGTCGCTGATGCACATTCTAACCTTATACATTGAATAGCTTAGCACCATTTTGCTAGCATTGTTGTGGGATTCTTGGGGAAATTTACAATACAGATTGGTCTGCAAATGGAAACAAAGTCAGTCTGGGAAAAGGGAAGTTCTGTAAAGTAGCCATCCTTTTCCTTGGCAATTTAAAAAATGCCAAGTGACCAGGTATTAATCAGACCTCTTTGCCTTCTCTTCTTACTCATGGCTCCTGTGCTATAGGGACCTATTAAAGTGTGAAATATCTGGAGAATATCCAGGACCATGGGACTTTTTCCTGGGACTTTTCCTGCCCACTTCAGTTCACCTTTTGTAGATGCTGCACTCACATATGATAAAAGTTACAGCTTTATTTACAAAACAAAGTTCTGCGGGTTAACAAATATCAAACATTGCAACAGAACAGACTCCTGTCACCCCTTTCTGGCAGGTTGACCTCTTCCTCAGTAATATTCCACATGGTGTGATCCATCCTGAATCCTTCTACCTGTATCTGAAAACACAACTGACGCACTTGTCCCAGTATAGTTCTGTTCTTCCATAAATGAGTCCAGTCACAGTAATTTCTTGGGTCAGACTTCTTTTCAGTGAGAAACCAAAAAAAAAAAAAGTGTAATAGTTCCATACCCACAATAACTTATTTCTGCTCTTTCCAAACTCCCAGACACAGGAAATGTAGCTACTAACACTTCTGTTGTCTTGCCTGGTGAGAGAGACACATTCAGTTCTTTTATTTAGGTTCTGTAAAATGAGCACCTGTTACATTTTAACATTGATGGGTATGTGTAAAATTTACAAATGGTATATTTACACAAATAAGTTGGGTCCTTAGAGACTCGGTCTCTAAGCAACTTTGAAAATTGGGCTTGGCCTTTAAGTCACTTAAATGTCTCTGAAAACTAAATGGCTAGATCAGGGTTGTTCAATTGCTAAGCCCGTGAGGGCTACACCAGCAGGGGCAGCATGCCACAGGGGCTGAACCAGGTGAGCCACAGACTCCCCTCCACTAACCCCCTGATGCTTCATGCACCTGCGTGGGCACCCCCTCCCACCACTGCACTGAGCAACCCCCTACTGCTGCACTGCACAGGCATGATTCCACATATGCACCCTCTTAGGCACCACCCCACCCACCACTGCCTCGTGTGACCTAGACTCTCCCTCAGCTTCCTGTGCTGTGCTGCACTGTCCTGCCCCCAGGAGAAGCGGCAGTCAGAGGAGGGGTGGAGCCCAGAGACTCCATCTGCAACACGGAGGGAGGGAGGGCACAAATCAACCTTTTGCGGGCTACGTGCAGCCCATGGATCACCTGACGGACAGCTGTGGGCTAGATCAAAGTCAGATTTAAAAGCAAAACCTCTCTTATTCTGGCCATGTGCTTTAAATACTCGAGACATAGCCATGTCCACAGCTGTATTTGAAAGCGTCCTGTACAGTGCAAAATGTCATAACCATTTGCAGTTATAATATTCCAGAGGGATAGCACTAATTGCAGTGGGGAAGGCTTTTGCAAGGCCCTTTACTTCACCCATATTATAGATTCTGAAATTCCTCTGTAGTGAGAACAATTTCATTTGAAGCTATAGAGCTAATTGTTCCAATTGTTTGGGATATTTCAGTACCTAAGCTTGTGCATGCACAAAATGAAAAGGCTATAAAATACATGAATTTAGCCTTTATTCTAAAAGTTTGCTTAATGAAAAGGTCTTCATTTTTGAGGGCTGTTTGTCCAGTGGTTGGAATGCAGAACTGGGAGTCTGTTGACCGCAGTCTTATTCCAGGTCCTAAAGATGCTTTTCTGGTATAATCTCAGATAAATATCTTGGATCGGAGGTTACGACCCACAGAGCCTTTGGACCTCGCCTGTGGAGCTAGGGTATCAGTGGCATTCGGCAGCAGGGGGCTGTCCCTGCACTATGTTGCAGTTAGC